TTTTTGTAATCCTGTATTTCTATTTTAATTCTCCTAGTAAAGAGCTGTTATTCCCATATCTTCACCTGAGAGCCCCTTAATTTTAAAATCATAATAATTTGGAGGGAGGGGGGTTTACATTCTCCATTTTAAAAAAAGAGACTCCTGCCTTTCTTGGCACACACCTGTCTTTGAAACCAAGACAAGCTACCAGCTAAAAGTGAGAAAATGTTGGCAGCTCTCAGTAGTTACAGGGTGTTTTAAGGTCTAATTGTCCAATTAAAAACTAACATCTCTATTATTTATACTTTTGAGCCAATGACCAAACACCTGTGACCCACAGTGCAGCACTTTCCATCCAATCAAAAATTACTACCTGAAACTAAGAAGAAGAAGGAACAAGAAGGAAGAAGAGCCCCAGAACCTCCATCTTGTCCCATCCCTATTACTGTATTATAAAATCCCAAATTCAAAACTCTTCACCCTGTGAAATCACACGCTTTTATTTTAACTCCACCCATGATTTTAACTCCATCACTCAATTTTGGAAGCTTTTTCCAAGGCCTCAGGTCCAAAGCAGTGCTCTCCAGTGGGTCAGTGCCAGAAAGCACAGAAAGCTGAAAAATCCCAGATTTTAGGGCTCCAAAACTCCTGGAACCCTCCTGTGGTGCCTCCAAACCCCAGAAGAGGAAGGGAGAGATGAACTGCTGCATTTCCTGACACAAACCTGCTACAAAAGCTTCACATCCCCCCCTCGAACCCCACATTTGTGCCGTGCCAACCCCCCCCTCCCCCCCCCAAGGCAGAGGTTTTTTTTCCCTTGGGAATTACTCACTCTGGGATGCTGAGAGGCTGGAAAAAGCTGCCTTGGTGCGTCCTGCCAGCCACTCCAGGCTCTCGTGCAGGTTGGCCAAGGCTTTGAGGTCGCTGACGTCCCGCAGGATCTCCTGCTGAGGGATCAGCTTGTCTCCCAAATTGCCAATCAGAACTTCGGATTCTTTGCCAAAAGCAGCCCTGAAATGGAAAGCAAAGCCCCCTCAGGGATGTGGAATCAGGGATACCTCAGGGAAGGTCAGCCCTGCCCTTGTGGGACCATGCCAGGGGTGTTTTCTGAGGGAATTCCAGAGGTAAAAAAAAAAAAAACCCAAACAAAACCCTGGGAGGTCTTTCCCATCCTTCTCCTTTACAATCCTGGAATTCCACCTCACTCCTCCCAGTTCCAAACTCCATCCCAATCAATCCCCCTCAGGGAATTCACACCTTGCAGGTGCTTCTGTGCCTCCCTGAGATTTCCATAAAGAACATTTTTCCATCTTTCCCTATAAATCAGCTCTTCTGATCCCTAATTGACTTTTTTTTTCCCCTTACATCCATTTAAACAAATTCCTGGTGAAACCCCAATGGCTGATCGTGACAGATGAATTATTTGGAATATCAGTCCACGAATTATTTGATTGCCAAGAAGATCCCACCTGGTGGAAAATAATGACCAAGAGAAACGTGTTTAACCCAAAAATTTGGAAAAAAAGTTCTTTCCAGGTGTGATATTCTGCCACATTCCGTGTTTTCCATCCAGATTTAGCTTTCCCAATCCTTGTCTCCAATGAAGAAAAATGTTTGGTTGTTTCCCAGGTCTATTCCCATGGCAAATATTCTCATTTTGCCAGGTAAAAGAGGAGATTCCACACGACTTTTTGGCCATCATTAGAATGGAAAAAAAAATCAGGACCCAGCTCCTACATCCAATTCCAAGAGGTCCCAGCTGAATCCAGGTGGATTTCACTGCCAAGCTCAAAGTGATGCACATTTACCCTGCTCCTCAGGACACTTTTTCCTGCTCTTTTGTTGGGAATTTGAATTCCACTTCCATCCAACTCTGCAAATCTCCATGTCCTGCCATCAGCTCTGAATGGAATCATCACTTCAGCAACAAAATCACCCCAGCAGTGGCACTTTCTGGCCAGTCTGAGCAATTTTGTTGCCAGATTTTATCACCAAATTTGTGGGAATTCTCTGGTACTTGAGGAAAAAACCAAACAAAAAAAAATCCCCCCATCTTGAAGTGGTTTTAAATTGCTCAACTGGATTCATTAAAGGCAAAAAAAACCCCCAAAAATAGCCTCCCTTAAAAAGAACTTCTTGAGATTAACAATGCAGTTTGTGGGATTAATGAAACTGGAGATTCTTTTTCTGGATTCTGGTTCAGAATTTATGTCATCCTCAAAAATAATCCCCAAACTGAGCCCAAATCCTCCTTTGCTTTCACCACACAAGAAAAAGCAGGAGGAAACTTGTGGGATATGGAGGGAAGATCCAGGTGCTCACTTGGTTTTACACCTGTGAGGTGAAATTCCTGATAATAACAGGATTTGCTCCTTTGTGCTTGGGATGAGGCACATTTTCCTGTGGGAAAATCTCTAAAATCCCCTTTTGTATAAAGGAGCAGACTGTCATCAAATAGAAAAGATTCACCCCTATGGAAAACTCAAATTCAGTGTTCCAGGATGGGGAAGAAAGGGAAAAAAGGGGGAAAAAAAAAGGGGTTCCATTTTGTTTCCAATCCTACAAACCTGTCCTTTCACCTTTTTAAAGAATTGTGGGTATAATAAATAGAGCCTGAGGGATTGGAGGAGGAGATCTTTTATACCTGAGAGAGAAAGAAACAAGGGAAGAGGAGAGAAAAGCTGAGAATGGGGGAGCTCAGAGGGAAAGGAAGGGAAAGGAAAGGACCTAGAGTGGGAAAAATACAGAGACAGAAAACAAGAATGAAAATCATGGAAAGCTTCAAGACCAACACTACAAAAAAAAAAAAAAACAACTAAATAAAAAAACCAAAACCAACCAACCAAACAAAAAAAACCCCCCAAAACACCCCAAAAAAGCAGGCAGATGTCTGGGACAGCAGCTGGAACAATCTGACATTCAGCTTTTGAGGAAAACCTTGGCTGCCCAAGGGAACATCACC